ATTTTAAAGCATTAAACATTTTGTTGTTATAAAAGCTGTGTGGTTGTTTTCTTTCCTTTTGATTTGTTTTGGTAAGTGTTTTACGGCGCTCGCAACTGCATAAGGTTATATGAGCACGCGGGGCACATTTCACATTTTCGGTTTGGTAGGAATTAATTTGAATTTTGCCCGGGTGGCGGCCGAAGCTTATCTTATTGATTTTGAATCACCAAGGGATCTTTAACGTGCGCTACTTGCACACGGGACCTCCGAGAATTTTCCCCTCATCAGAGAAGGCTATGTGTTAGATCCTGCTTACTATAAGATCAGGGGAGCGGCTGAAAGACAATAGTAAGAAGAAGTCAAGAAGTAGCAATAGAAAGGCTGTAGAAGAGCCAGGAGCTCAGAGAAGGGGGCAAAATGGGGTGGGGTGAGCGCAGAAAGTGGAGACTGAAAGCAGACGACAGAACATGTTTAGATGGCACGAAGGGAAGTGAAGGGAGAACATTTTAGAGCAGAAAATTTTCCGTCGCTGTCAGGTTTCGAATCCGGGATCTATTGAATGAGAGACGAACACCGTAACCTCTAGACCACGAGAGACCCTCTTGTCTATTTTTTACTAGATCACTCTGGTATTAAATGATAGTACAGTGGAACTATCTTTTTCAACGAACTTGGATTCAACAAAAACTTGGATTCAGCGAAAGGAGACAGATTCTCCGTTTTTCTTATTCATTAAAATCAAATTTAAGAAATATCTCGGTTTCAACGAATACATAAATGAGCAAGCTCAGATCCAACGAAGTCGCTTGCAGGGTGAACAGCCCCCACTGATGTGGCTTCGCTCATTTTTCTCCAGCTACGAACTCTATCTATTCCTTGAGTCCATCGATGGCATATGGATCGTGAACCCATTATTCGCTTAGCCTATTGTTTAGATTCTATGCGACTATTCAGCATCCTTCTTCTATACCAACACACGCGTTGTTGGCACGCACACGGCCCGCGTGTGTCGGGGTCGGACAGGCGGTGGGCGGCCAGCACACTTGTGACTTGTGGCTCTCTGTGTGTGTGTGTGAGTGTGTGAGTGTGTGTGTGTGTGTGTGTGTGTGTGTGTGTGTGTATGTGTGTGTGTGTCTGTGTGTGTGAGTGTGTGTGCGTGTGTGTGTGTGTGTGTGTGTGTGTGTGTGTGTATATGTGTATGCGCGCGCGCTTGAGAGAGAGAACGTGTGTGTGTGTGTGTGAGAGAGAGAGAGAGAGAGAGAGAGAGAGAGAGAGAGAGAGAGAGAGAGAGAGAGAGAGTGTAGGTCGAGGGAGGGGGGGGGGGGTCCGTGTCTGGAACGTCAGTAGCCTTCTCACAGTCATTTTTCTCCAGCTACTGATCAACAATGATGAACGAGTGTTGGCATATTGGCATAGATAAAGATATATATATATATATTATATACGTGTTGAATTGCCAACTAGTCTGTGAAATGAAACATTGTCGTAGGTATGCTAGGCTCTTGGTTTTAGTTTTAGTAGAGGGTTTTACGGCGCTCGCAACTGCATAAGGTCATATGAGCGCCAGAAGATTAGAGGTGTTACAAGAGAGTAGCAAACATAAAAAAGAAAAAGGATGATAGATGTTTGATAGGAAAGAAGAAGCAAACCACACCAGAGCACCCGCCAACCAACCACGTGCTAGGCTCTATACAGCAACACACGTTGTTCCGCAAACAATGTGTCATAGAATAGGAGACACAGGTGTGCAATTGAACTGATCGGACCTTTTGCACAGCGTGTGCATGTTTGGTAGAGTCAAAGATAGTACATAACAAGATGGGCCACCCAGCCAAAAAATTGTTCGCCGGAAGTTCGCTCTTTGCTTCAAATGGCGCTGCAGTCTGTTTTGAAGCTCTCTTTCGTTTTTCCAGAAGAAGAATAGGAATAGCACCTCCTTGCGTGCACAGATCGACTGCTGTTCATCAGCAGTTCGGGTTCATTCAGTGTGGAGTTTTTTGTGTTTTTTTTAATGACCTCTATCCTTTCATTCTAAAGTCAAATTAAACAAAGAAAACAATCACCCTTTCCTCCGGAAGAGTTTTTTTGTCAGCGTAACCATTTTAAAAAAGCGTTCTTCCGAAATTCATTCAAAAACTTGCTAGTTTCACTTTGATTTTTAAAAACTCAAGTAGGATAACTCTGTTCACAAAAGGTGCGCTTTTGCGAAGAGGGCGCCACCGAATTTTGAGGACACTTTTTTAATTGGCTCAAAGAGAGAACTGGCCCCTCTTGTTATGTAGACTCTTTGGTAGAGTTCAATGTATTTTTCTAGAGTGTTCCAGCATTTCTTCGGTACGGCATGAAAGAAACGAAAATACTTCTAATTTGAAACCAAATTACTTTTGATTGAGGATGTCGGATCCATTACATATCGTTTGCTCGATAAAACCTCATTTGCTATAACGAGCACTCGGAGTCAATGGAAGTGAAGAACGGGCCCGACTACTTCGTTGAATCCGAGTTCCACTGTCAATTTCAAGTTTCGAAGGCAAAAGGATTGTCTTTTTTATCGTGGTGGCGCGTAAAAAAGGGAATACATGTAGTTTTAATCTGGTCTTCCACTTTGTAAATAAACAAATACTGTTGCTGTTGTTGTTCTTGTTGTTGTTGTTGTTGTTGTTATTGCTGCTGCTGCTGCTGCTGTTGTTGTTCTGCTTCTTATTTTTCTTGTTCTTCTTGTTCTTGTTCTCCTTGTTCTCCTTGTTCTCCTTGTTCTCCTTGTTCTTCTTCTTCTTCTTCTTCTTCTTCTTCTTCTTCTTCTTCTTCTTCTTCTTCGAAGCCTTTTTATTACTGATATTACTATTATTTATTGCTAGACATGAAAACATTAGCCTACCCCCCAAAAAAAACCCAACAACAACAGTGCTGCATAGTGGCAACCAGCTATAGCATTGGTAAAACGGTCTACATTGATGTAAAATTGCCTTTGTATGTGTAGGCCTTTAATAATATGTATGCGTTTAAATTAGGGGCGGGCACGAGACGAGCCGAGTACCCGTTTCTCGCGAGAAATGCCCTTCCCGTCGCTTCTCGGGCACTAAACTACTGCTCGGTACCGAGAAGTGATACTGCTCGTCGGATTGACATAACGAGTAACAGTAACGAGAGTGAGAGAGTGAGAGGCGAGAAATGACAACGCAGACAGTGCCACCCATCACCGTGCCGCATTGTGTGTGAAACTGAAAGGGAGGGGAGAGGGTGGCGAGACGAGGCGAGTGGGGAGTTGATCAGGGCCTAGGCCTAGATCTCCCTACCTTCCTTCACCGCCTGCGCCTGCACAACAGGGCTAGCCTAGTTTAGATCCCCGCCACGGCCGGCCTTCTCGCTAAACGAGTTGCTCGTACTGCGGGGCGAGAAGAGATGGTCACGAGATGAGAAGCAATTCTCGAGATACGAGACGAGAAGCATTTCTCGAGACACGAGACGGGAACAATTTCTCGGTACCGGGACCGGTCCCAAAAAGAAGTAGGTCAGCTTCTCAGTCTTCTCGCTCGGGAAGGAAAAAGCGTTTCTCGCCCTTCTCTAATTTAAATAGGTTATGTAATTATGTATGAATGATTGACTTGCCGTTGTAACCTAAATGTTGCCACGAGAATCAGTAATATTAGAGTCATTTATTTATATATTTATTTATTTATGCACTTATTTATTTATTTATTTATTATTGGTGGTGGTGCTGCTGCTGCTGCTCCTGTTGTTGTTTGCTACCCATTGTTTTTTTCTGTTTTTTTTTTTTTGGGGGGGGGTTACATTAACGGGTTGTGGGTTGTTTCTTGGGGGGGGGGGGGGGGTTGGGTAAGTGTTTTACAGCGCTCACAACTGCATAAGGCCATATGAGGGCGCGGGACACATTTTCAGTAGATAGGAAATGTAGAATTTTGCCCGATTTTGGACCACCAAGGAATCTTTAACGTGCACAACTTGCACACGGGACCTCTGAAAGCCAGCAGCTAGCAAGAACAAAGGAGTAGCATTAGAAAGGCTTCCGAAAGTGGAGAGAAAAACAGACAGCAAAATATTGTTAGCAAGCAGGAAAAAAGGTGAAAGGAGACAATTTTAGAAAAAAGAAAATTTTCCATCGCTCGCCGGATTCGAGTCCAGGACCTATTGAACAAGAGGCGGACAGCGTAACCTCTCGACCACGAGAACCCATCAACTGTTTTAAATAGTTACTGCCTTAACTTACATGAAACCAGCACCAGCGTCTGTGATGTAGTGGTAAGGCACGTCATTGCCGCACACAGGAGACCTGAGCTCCATTCCTCTTTTTGAGTATCTTGGTCTTTCTGCATCCCTCTCAGCCTGGGTCGGCCCCGAAAGGCAAGGTCGGAAGCCCGCCTCCTTATGTTCTTAATTATAGCCCACTGATGGGGGGTATAAAATACGTTAATTAAGTAAAACAAAATATTTTAAAAATCACCAAAGGTCAATGGTCAAAAATATTGTTTTCTGCAATCGCAAAAAGAAAAAAAAGAGGCTTCTGTGGCCTGATGTTAAGTTCAGAAAAGAACAGCAAAAAAAAAAGAAGGTGAAAATCATGTTAATAAAAGACAAAAAGATAATTTTTAATAAAACAAGAAAATTATAAGGTCGAAGATAGCTACATGTATAGCCTACATGCACAATATAGGCCTATATATATATACGCTTTTCTTTTACAAAGTGGAAATTACAATGAGAAATTTAAGTCAACATTTTAGACGCAATCATCTTGTGCTTCCCGGGCAATACAATATGCTTTTACCTAATCAGTATGTACTTTCTACAATACCTTATTTAAACAATTTTTAACTCAATATTATTTAGATCTAAATGTAGGCCTTACAATTCATTGCAACCCCTCAGTGGTGATTTTAGTCTACATACATGTTAAATGCACAGCAATAGGAGTCAGAAACAGCTGACTTCCGCATTACTCGGGAAAGATAAAATGCGATATAATTTTCAAGGAGATCATCTCTCAACTTACACAAATCTACATCCGGTTTAAACAAACCCCGCATGGTTGGAAAAGACTACACACATAGCCTTCATAGCTCAGACAGGACAGCGTTATTTATTGAGATTTGATACCCCGGGCTGTTTCATGATTCAGAGATGGGACGAAAAAGAGATCCGACGGACGATAAACCAAAGACTGGACCTGGAAGAAAAACTAGGAAACAGCAGCCGCCCAGTTTTTCTGGGACAGTTTTTGAAGGTTTGTCGTTTGATGGCGATTTGAGAAAGGACTTTCGTTTTGTTTTCCCGTTAAATTTAGTAGTTTTAGTTCTTGGCAACCTTTATTCTCGCTATTCTCACGGTGAGAATAACCCTTTTCTCGCTATTCTCCCCCCCCCCCCCTCTGGTGAGAATAGAGCTCAGACCCCGAGTGGGCATGAGGCGAGGACTCCCCCCTGACCTCTCGCAGGCCGATAAAATCAGCTTGGCTCTTGGTGGCTTACCGCATGTAGATTAGGCTGGATTGTACTTTACCGGACCACCCGTCTCTCGGCCCGTGATTACTACGCACGCTTAGCCTAACTATGCACTCATAGTACTCTACGTGCGGACAAAAGGTAAATTAGTTCCGCGGGCAACTTCGCGCACAGCGCAAGCCAGCGGCGACTGGCGAGATGAGCGAGAGGTGGTGGTTGAGGGTGGGCAGGGGAATTAACTTTGGTGAACCACCGTGTATCATACCAACAGTGGGGGGGGGGGGGGGGGGGTTCACCCCCTGGAAACTATGATTAAGAAAACACACAATAACATGAGCGGACAGTCATGTTTACATAGAATCTATATCAATGTAACAAACAACAGTGGGGGGAAGGTTTCAGGGGGGGTAGCTCCCCTGGCAAAAATAACTTAAAGACACATAAACAATAATACGAGCGGACAATCGGGGTAGATACTCGCCAAGTTGCGAGCAAATGAGCTCTCGTGCGCGAATAATAGTGGACCACGTGATTACATTGACCAATTAGCCTCAAGGTGTCAGGGTCGTGGGTCAAAGGGCACAGTGGCACGCTCATGATGACTGAAAAACCCGGTAAGAGACGTCAATCGATTGTTGGCAGTCTTAAGGTGAAGACGTAGAAAACTGAGTAGGAGAGTGAGTAGGGGTGCTCGGAAAGGAGGAATAGCGGACCACTAGGCGCCAGAGTGAAAGTAGTTCCGACCGGTGGTCTGTTAAAGTACAATCTTACCTGTAGATTATCTAGATCTAGATAGATGACTTCCGTAACGAGCGACCACCCCATCAAACACAATAAAGAAGAGGCTTAACCCTAACCCTAACCCTAACTACCCCCCTAGATCTACCCCTAGCCCTCAATTCTGCTCTGTCTCATAGTGGTAGCTCGTTACGGAAGTCCTCCCAGATCTAAATCTAGTTGGGAACAAACAATAATAATGTAAAAACATTTTTCGCCTGTCAGTAAAAAAAAAAAGGCTCATTACCGACACTGGCGGGATGTGGGACCGGCTACTGGCTGGACCATTCGTTGTTTGCACACTTAACGATGGCTGGCCTCTCTGCACACAATACAGTGTGGTTCAAGGAACAGAGAGCATGTACGAACGTACTGAGACAGGAGCATGAGACCATGTTCTTGTACGATGGTTAAAGGGTTGTAAATTATTCAGGCCCAATGGACGAGGACGTTAATTTCCGTTAAATCTAGATAGATCTAGTCTAGATCTAGGTGTAGATCGAGAATCTAGAAGTCTAGATCCTAGTTTAATAATTTTAAACAATCCAAGCTCTTTTTTTCACTTAATTTTTTCGAAGTGACTATTTCTCCGAACGTTCGGAGAAATAGTGCCGATCTTTATTTCTCCGAACGGTTTTCGGCTTCCGGTCTCGTGATTTTTTGCCTATATATATATCTATTTATTGCGAGAGTTCGGCGCCAACTTTCATTCTGCCTCTGGTCTGGGAAGGAACACGTACCGCATGGCAAGCCCGCCTACAGACAACCTTCAGTAACACCCACCACACAAACACCACCATCATGCACATGTACACACACTAACTAAACATAACTAGTGGGCAACTTTTGAACGTATGACGAGCTGAACTGTGGATGGAGAGACAGTGTGAGTGAAAGAGCGGGTGAAAGGAAGAATGTGCGAGTGTATCCACAGGCGACAGCAACTACAAGACGACGACACTGACCACCCCTGGCCTGGTCCACAGCTCACGAACAAAAGGAATGCAGCTCAGGCGGTGTTTTGCCTATATTATTGTCCATGGTTCGCAGGGAACAAGTGAGATTTTCTTTGTGTGTGCCTGGAGGGATGGGGTGGGGTATGAAAGTCATGCGGACGGGGATGAGCCGCGGGAGAGAACACGGGAATTGAATGAAAGAGTGAAACTGAAAGAGACGAATGACTCATGAGTCCTGGAGTGAATGGATCCTCATGAGTCCTGGAGTGAATGGATCCTGTGTTTCTATTTTTGTATACTTTGAACTGTTACTGAATAAAGGCTGAAATAAAGCCCGAAAAACAAACAAACACACACACACACTCCTCACTCTCCACTTACTACCACACACAGACACACTCAAACACTCACACATACATACATACACACACACACACACACACACAGGAGCAAATTTTTGGGTCTATATCTATTTCAATTTTCAACAGCTAGTCTAGATGAGATTTTTAGATGAGTGTAAAAACGTGAAAAAGAAAGGTTTCACAACAGAAAGAAATCAAAATTAGAACAGCCCATAAACAACAACAAACATTAACAAATAAGGGCGTGTGTCCACCTGTCCGAAGAAGATTGGCAGTTTTAACCCTAAATGTGCGTAATTTAAAAAAAAGTACAGGATATTACATGTAAATTATGGAATCACACACATTAAGGGGCTTGCCAGTGTCAGTACATTGGTCGCAGCAGTGACAAACGCAGATGCCAGTTCTATGTGTCGTTATCAATAACCCTCCGTAGATCTAGATCTAGACAGCACACGAGTGAACACAACACATTACGTTTAAAAGCAGCACCTTTCATAGGCAACACGTCATATCTATAGCGAAAAACTGTTTGGAATTGTAGCATTTCTTTATATAAATATTTACGGCGGACATTTTTTGGACCGATTGAACCATATTGTATACGAACAGTCTTTGGTAGGCCCATACTATAATTATAGATCTCTATATAATATCCGAAATTTGGGGGAAAGGATGATATTTCAGAGTGTTCGGAGAAATAGTGCCCAGCTTTATTTTCCCGAACGTTCGGAGAAATAGTGCCCAGCTTTATTTTCCCGAACGTTCGGAGAAATAGTGCCGGCCTAATTTTTTTCGTGCTGAAACCACCCAAGAGAGAAATGAACCTTTATTTTCTTGTATAAGAGCAATTGCCAAAACGTGAGACTCTCTTGAGACTCAGTGGTGCAAAAAAAATTTTCTTACCAATTTGACTCTCTTTTCTGTCAGTCACAGATTGACATTTAGTGCTCATATTCCTAGAGTATCAGAGCAAGGAGATGTACGGTTTTGGAGATATGGGTCTATTGGTTTGGCAACTACTGTATTTTTTGTATGTAACAGTGATGACAAAAACAGATAATCAGCAAGGCAAATTATAGACTTTAAATTCCATTTGTTTAGTAAACAAACACTTTGTACACTATGAACTCCATTCATAATGGTAATATGAATGGCAAGCTTTGTAACAATGACGCAGTGCACAGAACATGTCATCATTGTTATGTACAAAAAAGGATACACATTGGACATTATCATTGACAACACATCACAATAGTGAAAGGCTGTAAAAATACAGTTATCAAAGCCTCAGTACCAGAAAAACACATGTGTAAAACAATTTTTAAACTAATATGAGGCAAAAGCACAAAATCAATGGAGCTGACTTGTACATAACAGTGATGACAAACATGACTTGTACATAACAATGATGACACAATGTACAGGAAAAGACAAAAGTCTTGCCTCCAGAGATAAAAGCGCACCTTAAGAATAAAAAAACAAACAGGAGAGGTTTCTTTTGCTTTGAAACAGATATCAGGTCATATCAAAGACAGTGGACGATCACAATTATGTTGCTAATTATGACAAACAGTACTCGTACATAACAGTGATGACAAGACATACTGGGAAAAGGTAAAATCATGCCTACAAAGAACAAATTTGCACTAAGAGATACACAGATCAATAAAGGCGTATTTTGCTTCTAAATGAATCTTGTATGTATGAAATATATGTTGAAAACTTATTGATATTAGCAATTGTGAAAAATATTACTTGTACATAACAATGATGACACAATGACACAATGTATTGGAAAAAGGTATATCATACCAACAAAGAACAAATGTGTATTTTTGAGTTAGACAGATAAACAAGGACATGTTTGTTTATTTGTTTGAGTAAAGAGAGCACACATTGCTTAAAAAATGTTTGCTCTTAGGACAATGTAATTTCTTGTATGTTAGTCTTGTACGGCTGCATGACGACACCCCAAACGTCATCACTGAGCACAAAAGCTAAATCTATAACCACAGAAATGATCCATCTCTCGAAGTTTGTTCACACATCACACTCTTGTTCCAGGAATCCAGTGTAAACACTGCAATTTCACTAAAATATTCAACAGAGTAGCCTAAAAACACGCAAAACAGCCCAGTACGTCACATTCAACGCAAAATTCTTGTGCGTCACCGGACGCTGAAGGCAATGACTACTTTCGTTTTTCTGTTTCCCCCGTTGCTTCCGTTGTTCTGGGGACGCGGGTAAGGGGAAGTCACTCAAGAAAACAATTATATCCGGGCACTTTTGATGACCCGTTCAAAACAAAAGTGGGCGAAATTCGGACTTCCGGCACGTAGCAAGTTGACGACAATAGCGGCGAATGTTAAACAGCCGACCGAAATCGTAGATCTAGGAACCCGATGTTCCTTTCGCGCATCGCGGCTTTTGAAGTATTGAATAAACGACGATAGGCAAAGAGATTTAACCAGCTACGGTGATTCTACTGAAAAATAATGGTGTTTTCTGAAACACCTAGTCCGTGACGACACGACAGACGCACAAGTAATCCGAATTGTTCGTCTATTTGCAAACAAATAAACCGATTTCTTGAGCAAGTTAACCTTTCTCAATGACAAATAACATAGGATCAAAGCACACATAAAAAAAAACCACCCAAAAATACTAAATTTTGGACATTCTTGGAAGTTTGCATTGGTGTGCTCAAAATGACACTCCAGGAATCACTAAAAAACGAACATTTTTGGCACAAAATTTACAAACTCAAGATTGTAAAGCTGACAAGGGGTCTGAAACTGCTAATGCAGGTTCTACATCCTATATTTGACGTGTGTATACGTTTTGGAGGAATAAATACTAATGCATCACATTTTATACACACTAATGTGAGATGTCTGTGTTTTTCCCCACGTTTTGGCAATGGCTCATTACTCATTTTTACAAGTGTGTTGGAAAACTGTTCAAATGTGATTCAAAGTTAGTAAGCATCATTTCAAAATACAGGCTTTCTGCACAGCTCTCTTTGGCAACCGCTGGGGGGGGACCTCTGGTTATTCGATTGGCGGTGTGTCACATGACTAAACTGCTTCTTCCCATTAGATATGAGTGGGAGAAGCCACAGGAAATGGGAAATTTGATTCACTAAATTAGTGCTCTTCGTTATAAAATCATAGTTTAATGTTGTAAATTGTCAATCAGGATGAGGAGGCAAGTTTGTTGGACCATTTGAATACAAGATAAAATAAAAAAAACAAAAGTTTTCACGTTTACACTGCAGGGTCGTTATTTAACCTGCGTGCGCCGCCACACCACCCCCCTCGTCCAATGTAGCATTCTGTCAGTGATAAATGAGAGACCTGTAGACTAGATTGAATTGCCTATAGATGTTACTAGAATCTAGATTAGCTTATAGATGCTGAAACTTTTTTGTGAAAGCAAAAAGTGCACTTTCTTTTGTGAACTTTGGACACTTGGTAATTTACCATATTCTTTCTAAGCAGTACTTTTATTTTTTTGTAAATTTATCGTTGAATTCCATTTCTGCACATCTTTTCACTTCTAAGGGAAGCATTACAGTATATACATGTTCTCTGTTAAATCAATCACATTTATGCTTGTTTGACAGAAAGTCCTATATTTTTTCAACTTTCTTTACAGATGGCAAGGAGAAAAAATTGAGCAGCAGGCAAAAACAAAGGTAGATAATGATTCTTTTTTTGTTTGGCTGTCAATGTTGTGGTTCTGAAGTGTAGCAAAAAAGTAAATTGCCTGACCATTTGTTGTTGTTGTGGCATTGAGGACTGGGGTGTCTGTGGACTGCCTGCCCACCCTGAGAAGGGGCCATGCACGTTGAGGATTTGTGGTACAAGGGTTTTCATGAGGCGGGAAAGACCTAACTACCCTGTGACCGTGTAATTCAGGTAGGGTTCACGTTGCCCATTCCCCACCACCAATGGCTACTGGCTATAGTTGTCTACTCTTGCATGAGGTTTCGGCCAAGTGAGAAAGCCATTGGTTTGGATCGTCACGTCCTGGGTCGTTGTGCCTTTACTAAGAGGTCCACGGTCAGAATGCAAGTCAGGCACTCCGCTCGATCCATCCAGACCTCCCCAGACTGGCTGGTTCCTTCTCAGCCACAGAGGGTGTGTTGATAAAGAGCAGTAGGGGTGTTAGGCAGATTAGACACCCACTCAAGGGAGAGTAGGGGTGTGTTAGTGAGGAGCATAGCGTCTACCACACATCGGTGGGTTCTGCCTCCTGCGCCTTGTGGGGCCACACCTGCTCCCATCCTGTTGTTTTAACCCCTCTAGGAAACGGGGGGGGGGGGGGGGGGGAGTTGGTTTGTTGGCGCCAACAACTCGCCAGAGCTGTGTCAGTGGAAACAGGGACCACCACGGGCAGGTATGGTTGGCTGGATTGGGAGAAGCTGTTTGAGACGCTTAAGCATTTCTCAATATTTAAATGAGACCCATCACCAGTCCTTGATCCCCGCCTGACCATTTAATGTTATTTTAAATATAGTTAATTAATCAGATTAAAAATGGCATTGTTCAATTGAAATAAGCAGAAAGAGGAAAATGCCATTCTGGATAACATATAGAGTTGTTTATATATTTCTGTACTTTGTACAGCTTACTTTGTATTGTAATTGTAAGTCAGTGGGTGAAACTGGCCATCAGATTTTCATTTGTTTGATTGAATTGTATGGTCTTTTTTGTGTGTGTGTGTGTGTTGGGGGGGGGGGGGGGGGGTGCACAGTTAAGTATTATTAGATATAATTTTTCTTTTCAATTTCAATACCTGAACATTTTTTAAATTGCAGGTTAAAAAAGAGGGAGGCTAAAAAGGAAGAAAGGCTTTTGAAAGTCAAAGGAAAGAAAAGAAAAGGTGAGTATGAAGCTGCAATACTATTGATGATTTCTTTTTACTGACAATGGTCATGTTCATTTTTTATATTAAACAATGAATATTTTTAGGCCAGCTCTTGCGTAGTCTCTGAATGTGAAAAAACTGCATTGTCAACTTGTACCTGTGAGGTGAATGCTTGTAGGCTTCTGTGTGTTCAAAATTTTACTTTCTGTATTGGATGGAAATAAAATTATTTCTAAATTGAATTGGGAGGTTCATGTGGAGGGTTCTGAATTGCCCCATCTGCTAGAGACGGGCGGGAAGCGCTTTTTCCTTCCCGAGCGAGAAGACCGAGGAGCTGACCTACTTCTCGCCAGGACCGGTGCGAGAACGGGAAATATTTCCCGTCTCGTGTCTCAAGAAATACTTCTCGTCTCGTGACCAATTTCTCTTCTCGCCTTGCAGTTCGAGCCACTCGTTCAGCGAGAAGGCCGGCCGTGGCCGAGATTTCTCTTCTCGCCCCACAGAACGAGCAGCTCGTTTAGCAAGAAGACCGATCGTGGCGGGGATCTGAACTTAGAAACTAGGCTTGACCTGTTGCCCAGGCGCAGGCGGTGAAGGAAGGTAGGGAGACGACCTAGGCCTTGGCCCTGATCAACTCCCCACTCGCCTCATCTCGCCAACCTCTCCCCTCCTTTTCAGTTTCACACACAGGACGGCACGGTGATGGGTGGCACTGTCTGCGTTGTCATTTCTCGCCTCTCACTCTCTTACTCTCGTTACTGTTACTCGTTGTGTCAAGCTAACGAGCAATATCACGTCTCGATACCGAGCAGTAGTTTAGTGCCCGGGAAGTGACGGGAAGGGCGTTACCCGCGAGAAACGGGTACTCGGCTCGTCTCGTGCCCGCCCCTACCATCTGCTGTACTGAGCAGCGGGAGATAGATTCTTGCTTTCAGAATAGTTCCATGCTAAATTTCAAGTACACATTAAGCTTTTTTTAGTTTTAGTAGAGTTTTTTACAGCACTTGCAACTGCATAAGGTCAAATGAGCACCAAGGGGTGAATGTCAACAGAGAAGTCCAGCTTTAACAGCACAAAGTCTACTTCGACTATCAAGGCACCCGGAAGTAGCAGGTCACAAAAGAGTGACTGACAAACATACAAAAGAAGTGGAGGAAAAATGACGATAGTAAGGAGTAGGAAAGAAAAAGCAGCTGTTCCCGGTATGCAGTTCAGGCACAGTTTAAGCATGACATTTGTGAATCAGCCCATTTACAATTGTACTGAGCATAAGAACATGTTAATGTCCCCCCCTTTGGGAATGGCCCTAAAGATACTTGAGACAGTAGCAGCGCCCCAGGGGTATTACATTAAGTTGTTAAAGGTGATGCTTTTTATTTGAGCTTTCAGTCCCGGGAGTGATAACAACATGAAAGTAAGCAACGACAGACGGGGTGCTCTTGATTTTTTAGCAATGCATGTAACAGAATGGATATCATTATATGTTGTGGTTTTTTTTAATGATTCGTCTCAGTGTTTGTGTGACTTGTCGTAATTAAATGTCTCGTCTTTCATATTTTTCATTTTCTGAACGTGATGAAGTGGAAGGAACAGCACCACCAGTTAATGAAGCGGCAAAGAATAAAGCAAAGAAGCCAAAGGTAAAATATTTTTAATTAGTAATATTATAATATATACGGATGTGTTTTAGTTGATTGGACGTCCCAATCTAGGTGCCAATAATTGAGGTTCAGAAATAAAATTAAATAGACCAGGGATTTCTTCTGTCCTTGTGCATGTTGTTAAAGTTTTCTAATACTTGAATCCTTGTGTAGTGTCAAGCTTTGATATTTTGGTTTGCTGAAGGCAGTTTGAAACATCCATTTTTGTCAATTATTCTTTTTTGTTGATTATTAAGCATGTGTAATGTGCAAAAGGGTATTTGTCACAGAGTAGGATAAATGGTTTTAACAATGGATGTACTCTGACTGTTACATCTTCTTGTTTCTGTTTGTCATTTTTTCCCCTCAGTTTTTCCAACATATGTAGTAGTCAGTATCTGCAGTCTTTCTTTTACAAGTGTGGACATAGGGTGTCAATGATGTCTTTGTTTCACGTCTCTCTTTCTTTCTTTTTTATTCATCAGTTTTGCCATATCCTGTTTCTCAGGGATATTGCGAGCACTCCACATTGTGCTATTTGCTGTCACTTATAGACTGAACCTAAAACTGTTAGCTGTTTTCTCAGATTTATTAATTTTTAAATTTTTTTTTACTTTCAGCTTCTCTTTGACAGTGATGGTGAGGATGATGGCCAGTCTGACAGCGGCGAGGAAGTAATGGTCAGTGTATAGGGCCAGTCCTGGTTTTTTTTTTTTTTTTAAATGCTCATTTCACTGCCTCAGGTCGTGATTTGGTTGTTTGTCAAAAAACTTATTTTGCCCCATTGCAACTTGACTTGTTATAGAAAAAGAATTCTTTTGCCTTGCCTTTTCATTGTAGACAGAATATGTATGCAAATCATTGTTTCTCCTATTTTAGAATGCTCTCTAAAGCTGTGTTAAATTGTAACCATGGTAATTACAGTGTTGTTCAACAGATAAATAGCTTTGACCTGCCTTGCATGGTTCTCTTTGTTACTATATGTACTGGCCTTTTATCTGCACTGACATGTTTTTGGTGTCATGTTGAATAGAGAATTAAGAGATCCTGATTCTTAACAGCAAGCTCTATGCGCTTTACAGTCTATATTTTTTCACCAGCAGGACTGATAGCATTCTTGTTAAACACCTTGACTGCGCTGTAGATGTATGTCTCGATAATGTGCCATCCTGTGTTCTGTAAATGAACTTCATACTGCTGCCAACACCCATGTTTTGTTTCATTGATATCTCAGCTAATATCAATTTTTGAATAAAGAGAGTGAAATCCCTTGAAAGCTTATCATTTTAGCTATAAGGACATAGTAATAACAACAATACACAGCCAGCACAAATCCTTCTTAACAGCAAGCTCTATGCGCTTTACAATAATCTATATTGTTACCTCAGCAGGACTGATAGCATTCTGAAACAGTCTTAAATTCCTGGGAAGCATACAGTGTTTTATTTATAGACTCATAGCAAATGTAAATATTTGATGGGAAGCCTGAGTGTAAAACCCATGAAACAAAGCAAGATGTGTTGTCTTTCTTACCCACATAGTGCGAGACAGGGCGAACATGTTAAATTGGAATGCTTGTTCAGTCTTTATGCATTTAAATCGTTTACATTGTTGTGACTTGTTCTGTGCAGATCTTGTCAGTGGATAAAGTCAACTCTTCAGTTAGATCTATCTTTCTACTGTTATATATTATAGTTTAACGGAACTGTCTTTTATAATAAGCAAACAAACATCGATTAAATATTGTGAACTATGGCGTCTTACATTTGATGGAATTTTCCTTACTAAGTGGAGTGCATATTTACAATTAGCAGTTTAGGGGTTACGGTGGTATTCTACTGTACCACTCTGGTTCTGTGGACCTTTAAATAAAAAATTGCAGTGTTGTAGAACAAACAGAAAAATACCATGCAACTAACCTGACAGTGAAGTTATTATATATGCTGCACTTTTGCCATAGGCTATACTGTTTTCAAACTGTAGTGCTGATGAATTCTTTTTTTTTTTTTATGATTGTTTTTACTGCAGCAAGATGAATTCTCAGAGGATGACGTGGACCTGCCCGAAGGCAACAACAACAATAATGATGAGGCTGAAAGTGATGAGGAGGAAGAAATGGAGGCCGATGATGACAACGATGAAGAGGAAGACAGTGATGATGATGAAGATGAAGGGGACAGTGATGAGGTAGAGTTTATGTGTATGTTGACAGTGTTTTTGTTTTCAGCTCATTACAGGGATAATTATGTGATCACTTTACATAGCGTTTGTTCTGGCTTGGGGGAAAGTGCCACTCTTACTCTCTCTTCACACGGGACAACTTATTAAGTCTGTAATGGAACAGTATTGTTCAAGGCAATTGTTAAAGAATTTCAGTTCAATGTTCATTATAGCATACTCCTTAAAGGTACAAGAATTTAAAGACATAGTGAAGGATTTTTTTTTTTTTTAATTTGTAGATTAAATTATTTGTTAACATATGTTTCTTTTATGTTGGGCTGTGTATTTTCAACTTTTAGAGATTTTTTGGATTCTTACTTTTCTTGTCTTATTGTTTTAAAAAGAAATACGCTTATTATAATGTTGATTTGAAATAATATGCTACTATCTAAATGTTGTGTTGATTTTGCAGCAAGTTCTTTTCTTAGCTTTGCAGCCAATGGGTAGACTCATTCATGATTGGGCTTTTGGTTTTCTACATAAATCAAACTAGCCTGGCTCCAGGTTCTTAGGAAGTTTTGTTGCATCTATCCAATGAGTCTATGGATCATAATAAATGCTAGATATTCAAATGCTGCTTTAAAATATTACTTATACTGTGTATGTTTAAATACTGCTGAATAGTACATATATAACCTTTTTGTAAGGAATCTGTAAAGTCTTTCTATTCTGTGCAAACACCTTTGATTTAGAATCTTCCTTTTAAAAATTTTCAGTACAGTTTTGAGTTGCACATAATTTATTTATCAATTTTGAGATTTATCTAAATGCATTTCAGGAACTTGGAGTTGAGAAAGCAGCCAAAAAATTGTTGAAGAAAGAGAAAAAGGTCAAGTAAGTAGATTGATGCTATACCTCACAATGAGCTTGAAGTGTGAAATTGTTGTTAGTAATACTGCAGCTGTTAGGTTAGTGTTCTTTCACTCTAGCCTATGTTTTGATCAGTTGAGGTTATAAGATGTGACTCCCTTCTGTATAAAGAGTGACGATGTGGTGGATGGAAGTAGCTAAGATGAAAATCAAACTCTATTTTTGTTGGATGTGCTTCACCATGCATACTTAAAGGTGTTATGATTTGTTTGTAGTGGGGGGGGGGGGGGGGGGGGGGGGGGGGTATTAAAATAAACAAAGCCAGGATTAAGTGAGCATGTAGAAAAAAATTAGTAGTAGCCCAATAAATTTTTGTCCTCTCTTAATTGGGAACGATGTTATATTTCATTGTTTTTTGTTAATGTACTCTTTTGCATAAGTGTTTGATCACACTCTCTGCTTTTCTTCATTAAAGCGGATACATTTCTCATGAAGTTTATTTAACTCCACAGGGAAATGGCTCAAAAAGAACTGATGCTGAATGTACAGTCACAAGAGAAATTCACGTTACCAAGTGGACAGGAAATTGAAAAAGAAGATATCCTTTGACTTCTGGTGTATTTCTGATTTTTGGTTGATGTTGTTGCAGCCCATTTTTTCACTTCTTTGCTTTCAGTTAAAAGAAATAATATATTTATCATAGGTCTAGGCAACTAAGTACATTACAAGCAGTCACCCAAACACCAGTCAGAAACCTCTCAAAGATGAATTTCCAGTTACCAGCCAAAAAACATTTCAGTCCCCCGACATTTTATCGACCAGTCCTGGAACCTATGTGCCTGTGGAAAATTGGGTGTGAAAACGCTGTCTATCATTAACCTCTTTGTACCAGGGGGCGTGCGTTCCTAACATCAGCTCTGATTTTCAGCTCTGCTCATTAGCCAGGACAGCAGTCTCATCACTCGCATAGTCAGTGGACTGGCTGTCTGGCACTGGTCCACTCTTGACATATTCGGACCCTGAGTCTTCAATGATGTTACCTTCCTAACTTTCCTCATCCCCATTTTCCCCTTCTTCCTTATAATTTAGAACAACCTGCAAATCTAAGTCTAAACGTTAAATTGTCTTCCTTCTTCCAGTCATTTTCGTGTTTATGTTTTGCAGAGGCCTGCTTTCGTCTATAAGGCCGGACCTATGTTCATCTTGCCGCTTGTAAGTCTAGCAGTAAAGTGAAACTAGCAAATTTGGTACTGATGTACACATTGTTTTATTCGTTAATAGGAATTCACACTATCCCTGTGGCTAAATCTTCGTACCGAGAGAATCAGAGCCAGATGATTAGTGGGATGAACATGCCATGTCTTTTATTATAGGCAATCAGGAACGGCAAATTTTGCCCACTTCTGTGATGTGTATGGAACGACAAAAAGCCAAAAATTATGCTTTTTTTGTGAGGTACCATTTAAGGCAACAGATATATATTTTTTTATCCTCAGGAATTTCAGTTTACTAGTTTGTATGTTCTAGAGAAATGTTTTATTCCTTGACTGTTTCCACCTAATGTACCACCTGATCTTGCAATCTTAGACAACAGGATTACTCACATTCGACATGTGCTCGGTGATTTTGCTGCTCGAAGGGAAGCAGACAGGTGAGATAACGATTATTTTGGAACTTTTTGTATACCTATTTTTATTAAAAATGCAATACAATAGTCTCTGCAATACAGTAGTCTGTGCCTTAACACATGGTGCTCAGGAGGGCTCCTTACCGTGCGTTTACATGAACCTGTGCCAAGGGAGGAAGGGACGCAGTCACCTCAATTCCTTGATATTCTAGTGACCTCCCTTGGGGGTGGGGGTCACTGGCTGATAATGTGATGACACGTGACTGTTTTGTAAAGGATTCCCCTACTATGGTTAAGAATACAAAGGCATTGATTGGGTAAGGGGCAGGGGTGGGGGGGGGCAGAAAGGCAGACTCAATGTAATGATATGCACCATAAAATGTGGGGAACAGATAGCCTAAGAGGATACTGCTGGTGATAGTCATACAGACGACGGCCCAGCTACGTGGCTTTCCAAGCGACCACCCCGGCGATAAATTTATGGATGACATCAGAATCATACATCTCTACATTCAGAGAAACATTTCTCTTGTGATTCGTTGAACAAGTACGTTTTAAGTTTTTCGAGCACAGCTGATTAGGCTTACTTGACTAATCTTTAATCCTATAGAGGCCTATCTAGTGTTTTACAGCATTCACGCGTGTTGCGCATCATAGGTCTAGGCAACTAAGTACATTACATGCAGTTACCCAAACACCAGTCAGAAACCTCTCAAAGATGATTTTCCAGTTACCAGCCAAAAAACATTTCAGTCCCCCGACATTTCACCGACCAGTCCTGGAACCTAAGTGTCTGGAACATTGGGTGTGAAAACGCTGTCTATCACTCTCTTTGTTCAGCATGAGGGGCAGCCTCACCAAATATCCGCTTTTCTAGGCTTGTCTTATGCAAGCTGTGTAGGCTGTAGCAAGAATTTCCTCTTGTCAAGCTTTACCTGTCGGCGTGTTTCACGGATCAGAGCATGCGTTTAGAGGGAGTGACCGTGCGTTTGTACTTCTAAATTATATAGTTAAAAAACCCGTCATATGATGAAAGCGTGCGTTTTGGCGGAGCATGCTTTTGTGTGGTGTGTGTTTAGGCGGAGACTACTGTAATGTATTTTAATTGGCTTTAAAAATTTTTCTGTATCATGTAGTGTGGTGGTAGATTGGTGTTTGTTGTACGGTATTATTTTTTTTAATTGAAAAAAAAATAAAATTTTGGTGACCAGTCACTTGATAATTCTCAAGTAACTATAAGCTCAGAAATTTGGTTTGAAATACGCGCCAGGGTGCTTGTTGCTCCTGGTGTCTTTGCTGTGTGTTTTAACTTTTGCTGTTCAGGGTAAAACCTTGAGGTTTGGTAAATTTTATGGTCTTACTGTATATATATCATCAATTTGTAAATTTGAAATTGAAATGATTCTCTTATGTGTGGCAGGTCTCGACAAGAGTACGTTGATCAACTGGTGAGAGATCTGTGTTCACGATTCAACTACAATGAGTTTCTCATGAGGAAGCTGATGGACCTGTTTCCTGTAGAGGTGAGTTAATGAGATGTCTTTCTCACCTGTTTAAAAATAAAACTTTTGGGAAGAGTTGTAGTGCTTGGTTGGATGGGACTAGAGCGCTGTCTACTCCTTGCACTTCTTTCTTTGTGCTGATGTTGTCCTGATTCACTTCTTTGCTTTGAAATTTTCCTCACGATGTGAAAGTGCAAATGGCATGCGGCATCATAGAACTTGAATTTCTACTACATATGGTCGCTTTTAAGCACACAGGGACTGTCCCGATAAATGCTGTTTAAGAAAATCAAAGTTTAAGGTTTTGGATCCTTATGAGGTCTCTTTAAAAGAAGAGGAGAGTTTTCTCTATAACTAAACAAATATACACACCAATGAAACCAAACTTCTCCATAGGTAAGGCAATGCCCACTTTTGGTGTAGGTCAAGATTTCTGGAAACCCCCGAAATCTGGGTTAGCCCCTTTGTCCTTAAAACTTACGACCTCCAAACCTTCGCCAAACTCAGCATGAAAGGAAAGAAGTGGCAAGACTAGCACTGGAGTCAGTCTCCGTACATGTGACGGGAGCATAAGTTTCCGAACAAAACCGCAAAGTCCATCCCGTCCGGGTATGGGATCCGTACCAGCGAACCAGCCGAGACCCTGTACCGGTGACGGGAACCGTAGTCGGTGACTTAAAGTTACTTGTAGGTTGTTTTATGAATCATTTTGAAATTATTGATTGGAGTAACTAGATTTCCATTCTCCTCCAGTTACCTTCTTTTATGGAGTCCCTCCTTTCTACTCTCCATGCCTTTTTTTAATACCCTTTACTTAATAGTTGTTTTGGTGGTTGCTGGAGACTCATGTTTGACTGCATCTTTGACTGCTTTTGTGTTTCTGTCATAGTTATCTGTTCCTGGAAAATGTACTGACACTTTGTTGATATCTTGTATGGTCAATGTGTTGACTTCTAGCTCTAATGTTGTCCCATGGTGTTCCTCTCCTCAGATCATGGACTTCGTTGAAGCAAACGAGTACCCTCGGCCTGTCACTATCAGAACAAACACTCTGAAGACTCGACGCAGAGATCTCGGTCCTGTGAGTACCCTTACAGGGAAGCCAGCATTTTTTGTTGGACTGAAACACCTTATATGGGGGGTTGGTTTGGTTTTCCTGCTCATTGAGACTCTTGTGTGATCATGGAGATTCCTTCTTTTAATGCATTACACCCTAACTCGCCCAGGATCACTCTGTGATTTCCATTCTCGCTCAACCCTAACTCTCCTGGAACCACCCGCTCCGACTAGGTGTCTTTAGAAACAAAGTCTCGCCTTGACGAGACACTGGGGCCGAGATTTCGGTTTAAATAGTTTTTGAAAAATGTTTCTTCTTCCTTTTAACATCGAAACAAACTTTTTTGGATCGGTAGTTTTAGTTTTAGAGCCGATCGAAGTGCAATCGTGTTTCCAACACTTCGAAGGTGTCTCAACTTATTGAAAAGCAACACAATTGAGTGTGAAAATGGAAATAACGATGGATTTGAGCAAGAACAAGCAAACAACAAATCTATACCGCGCTGGCGGTCGTTCCACCCCGGCCTTAAGTCGGGCTGCGGTAGGCCTTGAGTAGCCTGAGATCGGCCGTAAGACAGATAGGCTACAAACGGAAAATTCCCTCAGGATGTCACCCTGACAAGAGGCTTCATTTTTTTTTTTATTGTACCCATTTATGAAATTGTTTGGAACCCCGTGGATTGTTTATGTACCTGCCAAAACCAAGATGAGACAGCCATTGACCCGTAAGCCAGAAGCATACGAGATGAGAATCAATGTCAATGGAGCACAAGAGGAAAATAACTGAAATGTGTCTCTCTTTTGGTTTATTTTGCATTTTTAAAACTGATGTAGAAGGGGGGGGGGGGGGGTGCACAATATATATTCAGAAGTCTATTGGATCAACTGTCAAAGTTCAGGGGTTGGTGTAAAAATTCATTGTGATTCCTGGTTTAGTATTTAAACAATTTGTTGCGTTTTTTAATTGCTTGTATTCACGGGAGATGGGTTCCTTCCCCTTACTTAAGATTTGGGACTAGACTTTGCGTCCAGACCCTCAGGGTGTAATGTGTTTGAAAAATTTTGATTTATGGTTGTTCTTAGAGTACTGCTTATATAGGTCTATACATACAGGGTTTTAATTTCGATATAATATAGACGTTCCTTAAGTGAATTTGTCGTTTTAAAAATTTGTTCACAGACTTGATTTTGGTAGTGGAAATCAGTAGCTACCAGAACTGTGCTTATGAAACTGCATAGTGGCGGTGGTTGAAGGAAAGCAGTATTCTTTAATTTTGTTTTTCCTTTGATTTTACTTCTCTCAGAATGTGTTATGACATTTGTTATTTCCATCGGTTTCTCTTTAACTCAATTCTTTGTAATATTTCCATGGTGCTGACTTGTGTCTTGTTCTCTTGTGCTGTGGGGCAGATGCTGATTGACCGTGGTGTGAACGTGGAACCAATGGCCCGGTGGAGCAGTGTTGGACTCACTGTCTTTGACACTAAAGTGCCTCTAGGTGAGACCCCCCCCCCCCCCCCCTTCTCCTCCCCCTCACATCTCGCTGAAGATGGCAACTAAATTCTGGGGTTTTTTGTGGGGTTTTTTCGGAGCCTTGGGGGGGGGGGGGGGTGGCTTTCAGTGCAATGGCATGTTTTAGAAAGTATTAATTCTATGTTCCTGTAAAAGGTCTTGTATTATTTACAAGGAAGAAGTTAAAGTTTTGATAAATTGACTTTTCTCTCTTTATGACTCAAATGTGAGAGGAAATGTATCCAGCGTGAACCATGGTTGGCTTATCAGATATTTTGTATTCATGTTCTTTGTATGATCTTATTCATATATCTAGTCTCTCCCTTTCTTATTTCTTTGCGTGAATTCTTTCCTTATTTTTCCCGTTCCTCTTTGATTTTGTTGTTCTCAAGCACTCTGTTACTCACAGACATTTCTGTTTTTGATTTGGTTTTCTCCAAGTCTTAGGATCATTTTTGTCCTTTTCTTTCGATTGTTCCTATTCGTAGTGATTCTATGATTCTATGAGTAGATTGTTAGTAGGAGAATACTTGAGGTAGATTTTATTTATTTTCTTTTTAAAATAATTCCGTTTCACATCTTGTTTTTACTACACGTCTTCATTGTAGCTCAAACGCTACACTTGTTTTTACTACACGTCTTCATTGTAGCTCAAACGCTACACTTGTTTTTCTTGTATCATACTGCCTATAGTTTGTTATAGAGTATATTTCTCGAGCTAATTTGTACCCTTGTATTTGCTCTTTGTTCACCAGGAGCAACTCCGGAGTACCTAGCAGGCCACTACATGCTGCAAGGGGGCGCTAGTTTCCTGCCAGTAATGGCTCTCGCACCCCAGGAGAAAGAGCGGATTCTGGACATGTGTTCTGCTCCTGGGGGCAAATCCAGCTACATCGGTACGTCCTGAAGATTATTGTTGTTACATTGTTACACTGATCGTTCTTGTATGTTCTGCTAAAACTAGAAATGTTAACTAGAAGTGTTTGTTTTTTTAGGGGGGGGGGGGGGGACTACATTACACACAAGACAATTTTTTGGGGGCCTTTCAGTTTTCTGCTGGCGTTCCTTTTTTTTTTCCTAATTGGTGAAGCAAGCTCTTCGAAGAATTCTGAAATCCCATGTACACTAGTATATTATTATATTGGCTTTTGAATTAGAGTAATTGGGTTCCTTTACCAGGGCAGTTCTAGGGCCGATTTATCAATGTCATGCTCATACTGTGCTGGAACAACATAGGGGGAACTGCAGCTATTTTGGGGTGCCTTGATAGTCGAAACAGACCTTCTGCTGTTGAAGCTAGAGAGGTGAACAGTCTAAGTCTGATTCCCTGTAAAGACTTCTCTGTTGACACCCATCCCTTGGCGCTCATATGACCTTATGCAGTTGCGAGCGGCGTAAAACTCTCTACTATTTAAAAAATTTTTGTTAAAATTAAAAACCTGCTTTTTAAAGAGTATTTGGGAGGAGGGGGGATTTGCTGGAGAAACCAAAGAAAGGAAAGGCTGTTTGTGCTCAACTTAGTTTAACTGTATCCAAGGTTACTGATGTATAGGTTAGTTCTGTTTGTGAGATAATTTTAATGAATGAAAAAAAGTTTGGGGGTTTTTTCCTTCATTTGTTGAATCTAGAAGTAGTTATGTTAAATCTGATCTTGGTTGATGAAAAGTCTACTTTACAATGATGATAGTCTGAAATAGGTCAGTATGCTGATGATTCTGTAGCAACGCTACAACAAGTTTGTATCTTTCTCATTTTGCAGCTGCACTAATGAAGAACACAGGTCTGCTATGGGCAAATGATGCCAACAAAGACAGGAGCAAGGCCATTGTTTCCAATCTGCACCGCATGGGAATCATCAACAGTTTGGTCACCAGCTATGACGGTCGTGCTTTGCCCAAGGTCAGAAGAATGGTTTTGTGAAGTAGATGTTGTCTCATAATTACTGGTTGATGTCGAGGACTCGTTTCTTTTTGATTGAGTCTTCAAACTTCTTTGCTTTTAACCTACAGATTGTGGCAGAGTGGTATGATATAGGGCCTACTAGTTTGTTGGGACTTGAGGTTTCTGGAGAGAGAGAGAGAGAGAGCTATTCTCTTTCATTATAAGGTCTTGATATTTGCATAGTTTTTACTGAGCTATTTTTGTTTCCCTTTCATTATTGCTGGCAGGTGTTCTGGTGTTTTGTGATTATTTCTAAAAATCCATTTTGGAATTATTATTTTCTAGTTCCCGTGGTAGGTGGTTGATGGTCTTTAGATTGGTTTGCTTGTACCTCATTTTAGGGCTACTCTTATCGTGGTCTGTAAGTGTAAAATGGTGCAGTTGTCATGCTGACTTGCTGTAGATTATTCCTTGTGCATATGGGATTTTTTTTTCGCATGCATGCTAGATGAAAGCTCTGACACGGTCTGTTTCTTTTCTGTTTTGCCGTTGACCTTGACCTAGTCTGTAAGATTCGAAATGTGACAATGGTGCCTACTGGTTAACGGTGAAACTCCGGAACCTCTACTTATTTTATATTTAGATTGCAATGGAAAATTTCTACCAGTTTTCCTGATCTTTCAAGGTTTGTGTTAAATTTAAATCATTTGCTACGTATTTTTTTTTTTTCGGCTTGTGGAAGAATTTTTGGGGGGAGGGCGAATGAGATGATGACTAGTGGGCAGTGAAAAGGTCTTTGGGGCCACAAATTCAAATAAATATCAACGTATTATATACCAATATATTCAGTATGGTTTGTAGAATATTTCTGTAATGTTTATTTATGTATTTTTCGACTTTGGTTCCTGTAAGAGGCGATTATGCAACACAATTTTGATTGGATGCGGATAAAATTTGAAAATAAACAATTAATAGTATTTGGTGAAACTCAAAAAATATGTTTTGACCTAGTCAAATGATACATCAAAATAACCATAAATGAATATAGAACTGGAAAATATTGAAAAGTTTGCAGTTATTTACATACATTCCATAATATTTGTACATTTGGATCATAACATCCGATATTGAAAAAAAAAAAATATTGTAATCTTGAAAAACAATCACAAACAGAAAAAACCCACTCGTATCTTTTATGGAATTATTCAGAATTGCATTTGGAATAAACCTATACATGTCTTGAGTGGCACTTTTAGTGTAATTTCATCAAAAAGTAGTGATTTTGGGAAGAAAAAATATTTTGACAATTTAGATCTAGACCTAGATCTAGCACTCAAAAATATTGATTTCTCAATAACAGTGCATTGACAATATGAGTCCAATCGTATTACTATTATAAAACAGAGTCCTACATTTTTTTAGTGGGCAAAATAATGATAGATTTTGTTGTGTAAAATTACTAAGACTGGTGTCTGGGCTATAATTTTGGCATCGCGATAAAACAAAGTCGAATAAACTACGAAATTGCATTTCAAAACTGAATCTAAATTTCCGATTTTCCGTGGAAATGCTTGACCTGGAAGTCAACATTATATTATGACCTTTATTTTAACATGGATATGTGGATTGGAATAGAATCTACGCTAAAATTGAAGATCGGTCGTCGAGCCGCCGGGGGCGGCTTAGCGTATTGACAGCACTTTAGCCAAGCCGCCCCCCACGGCTCGGCGTAGCGAATGAGTTAAACCTATACCATTTCACAATTTTGATCTTTCCACTTTTCTGCAGGTGTTCCACAGCTTTGATCGGGTGTTGCTGGATGCACCTTGCAGTGGTACAGGTGTCATCTCTAAGGATGAAGCTGTCAAAATTAACAAAGTAAGTCCTTCGGTGCTTTTGTTACTGAATAGAGCACAAGTCAAACTCACTCTATTTGACCAATTTAATGGCTTGATTCCCTGAAATTACTGTGTAATAGAAAAGACAACAGTCTTCTATTATCATATTTGGTGTTTTATAGGCGTCCGTGTTAAAGTTCATGGGGTGATGGGCTGATAAGAGCAGTGTCAAGTAAATGTTTCATGAAGTTCCACTAAAACCTTTTATTCCAACGAACTCCTGGTGCTCCACAGGATGAGAAAGACATCCAGAGGTGTTCTCACCTGCAGAGGGAGCTGCTGTTGGCTGCCATTGACTGCTGCAATGCCAACTCCAAGTCAGGAGGCTATGTTGTGTATTCCACCTGTTCTATACTGGTGAGTAATGTCATTTGGGAAAACTGAATTTTGGTGCATTCTGCTGAGTCAGTTATTTTGGTTGTAGTTTTTTTAAAAAGTGAGATTTATGTTTGAAATGTGTAAAGGAAAACAAGACAGATCCCAGTCAGAGATGAGGTAGGAAGAAGGCGGTGGCGATGGATTGGACATACTCTCAGGAAGTCAGGCAGCTGCATAACAGAGAAAGTTTTGGATTGGAACCCACAGGGCAAGAGATCAAGGGGAAGACCTTGTGGAACTTGGAGAAGAATCACAGAAATCGATGTACAGAAAAGTGGGAAGACATGGAATAACATCAAGAGGCTAGCCCAGGATAGAGAAAAGTGGAGGGTGTTTGTCCGTGGCCTATACCCTGATGCAGGGTGAGAAAGGCAATGATGATGATGTTTGTAGTGGTCAACTGCAATGAGAAAATAAGGATCTGTGTATACACATTACTTATTGTTACTGTATCTGCTCTCATATACTGTGAGTATTAGCTTTGGAGAATTTCTTTTTAAAAAGTTGAAATTTTCTTGAATTTCAAGGGAAAATCCAGGGTTGTTCTGTCGCGTCAGTGATGTTCCAGTAGTGAAAAAACGGAAACCTCATTTGTTTACAATGGCGTCTTAGAAGAAGGACTTTCCCAAGATTAGATCTAAACGAAAGTAATGAAAAACTGAAAATTAAACTACTGTGATTTCAGACTCCTTAATTGTGCTCCCTTTAAATGATTCTGAACCTCCGTTAATTTTTTCAGATCCGAAAGTTATGTGGTTCGGAAGTTTTAGGCGACCAAAGTGACGTACTTTAACAATATTATACCGTATTTAAATAGATATTGTGTATGTTCAGCCATGTGCAAAATTTGGGCTTTTGGTAAGTACAGGATTATTGCCGATGCAATAGTCATGTTATTTTTAGTTAACCGTTTACGTAGGGCTTACACATTTGCCATTGCTTTCAGGTTATGTTATGTGAAATGTTTGTACTTTTTAGGTGGAGGAGAATGAAGCTGTGATTGATTTTGCGCTGAAGAAACGAAATGTAAAGTTAGTTCCCTGTGGCCTGGACTTCGGCAAGGAAGGCTATGTCAGGTGAGTGCTGGGCTTTGTAAGTGTAGTCTTCATTTCTGCTGTGCTACAACCATTTGTCACAATGTACCTTATTATGTGTGGTCATTAGATGAGCTCAGGGGATAAAGTTCTTTATTTAAATGTTATGTGAAATGCTGTCACCTCAGTGGAATGTTGAAAATATCATTGTTGTCCAGTGCAACGTGGCCACGGTCTGAAAGGTTTATTTAATGTGAGATTTTAAAAAAATAATCTACTTGTGGTTCTGTCTGTTAACACATTCCACCCTAAGGGTCTGGACTGGAAGTCTACCCCTAGATCCTAAGCAAAGGGAAGGAACCCACCTTCCGTGAATGTACGCATTTGTGAAGTCAATACAAAGAAAACATAGGGACTGAAATGGGACCGCTCATTATGTTCGAGATACTCGAGAATTCGCGAATTTCGTGTTCAAGATTCGTGGACTTTATGTCTACCTTAGACTCTAGGCTCTCTGGTTCCAAGACATCGGTAAAAAATTGTTTTTGAATCTGGGAATTAGTCTGTACCTCATAATCGCGATAAAAGTGGTGGTTTTGGGCTAGCACTGATCAACCCTTTATTTCAATCTGATTCCAATGGGTTATATATATCTAATCAACCTTTTGACTTTTGTCATGATTGGGATTCCATTTACCATTTCAATGAAGCAGGAGTGGCTTTGCAGTAAGCTCTGGCTCCTTTCCTGGCTACATGTGGCTGTAACAAAACCGACTCATACGACCCTACAACTGTAAAACAAAAACTGAGCTGATTGTAAAATATTCCTTTCCTACTCAGGTTCCAACAGCACAGGTTTCACCCCACATTGAAGCTGTCCCGACGCTTCTATCCTCACACACACAATCTGGACGGTTTCTTTGTGGCCAAGCTGAAAAAGTTCAGCAACAAGATCCCTGGTAAAGGTGAGTGCATTGCTGTGATGTGAGAGGCCTATGCTGACTGACTCCTGTCACTACTGTCAGCTGTGGTTTTGATATTTAAGGAAGTTAAGCCTAACTTTTGGGTTGGCCTACATTCCTGAAAAACTGAAATAGCCTACCGGTACCTCCAAGAACAATTTTCAATTGCTGTCTTGCAGCACTGATAGATAGATCCATGATACGCAAATGCGCCAATATACACATTTGTATTATTTATAGAGTGAAGAAAAGTTTCTGTGGTCAATGTCAAGCTGAAGTCCTAACAAAATCTAGTGGGACAAGGGAAGTGCTGCAGAAGAAGCTCTAAAAAAGTTTTATAATTTAGAATAAAAAATGCACATGAGAGTATTTATTTTTTGCAGCTACACAAGTTTTACTTATCATGTTGTGAAAAGAACTGTTCACTGGTATCTGTCAGACACAGAAGGCATGGGTTTGTTTTCTGTATGAGGAGAATTTTTATCAAGTTTCTCAGTTTGAGTGATAGGATGTTGTATCCTTCTCGGCCCGAATGTCCCTGACAGGCAGGGTTAAAGCAGCTTGCTTCCAAAAGGATTTAAATTGTATCAGTGGGGGTGTAACATTTGCATCATATAAAAAAGAAGAAAAAAACAGAAAAAAATCATTCAACTTGTTTTTTTCTTTCATACATGATTTTACAGTAAAGGGGTTATAGTAGATGGGATGACTAGTTTGCTTTTGAACACTACAATCAGGTGCGAGGTTTTTAAGTTCGTATTGAGGAATTTATTGCTGGCGCTCAAACCATCCAGGCGCTACAAAAATAAAAAATCAGGTTGTGCCTGATTTTCATGGTGTGACAGGTTCAAGGATTGACAGTATTGGCTTATTTTCTCATAATCTGAGGGTGGCCTGATGGCTGGCTGAGGTCCAAAATCTTATGTTTCAACTGTATGTGTGTAATCACTAATATACTCTTTCCTCCGACTGTTATGAGTAAAGTTCTTATTTTGAAAATGATGTTATGTAAGTCTCAAATTTTGTTCAACCAAGGTACAGTTGAAATACATGTAGTATGTGCATTTTTGAGATGGTTGATATTTTAAGCACACATAATGTCTCTTTTTAAAAAAAAATTTGAATCTTAAGACGGCAGCAGAAGCTGCCAGTTCAGAAGAAAATGAACCTTTGAGAATGTTATTTTAGATACATAATGTCTTTATCTCGTTTCTTTTGAACTTAGAATCTAAGACAGCAGATGCTGCCACTACAGAAGAAAGTGAACCCATGGAGTCCGGCCCAAGTGAAGCAGGTACTCTTTTTCCTTTGGTTTACAGTATTTTTCAAGGGGTGACTATGCACAGAGAAAGTTACTTACTTTGTTGATGGATTTGAAAATTAACATTTTTGCTCATTTTGCCTACCATAGGTGTTCCTTTCAGAGGTTTGGAGAGAGGAGCCCCAATTTTGTACTTTGGGGCTGCATTTTTTTTCTAAAGGAAACACAGGGAGTGGGTACTTTACGAAAAGGCACCAGTTTGTTTGACCATTTGACATACATATAAGTATATATATATACTGGTTCTAGTTTACAACAAAAAATTTACCATTTTCAGAAGAGTGCAGTCTCATTTTTTCCCCTTTATGTTGCTATTGAATGTTGTTTCCACAAGTACTGAAGAAGTGATGAGGCAGAATTTGAAATTGTGATTAAAGTTAAAGGGTTCATTCTAACTAAACACTTTCAATTACCATTCTCTATTTCCTTGGAAGTGAATAGCATGTTTATGTTAAGTTGCCTCATTTCAGTCACTACTGGTATACTCTTAAAAGTATGTTTGAATAATGGAGATCCAGGGTAATCATTCTGATGCATTTAGTAATTTTTACGGTAGGTACCGGGAATGTCATCTTACTTCTTTTCCTGTCTGCTACTCTGAATCCTCGTCTTCGTCTAAAGTTAGTTTATCCGTCTGAAATAATATAATCATTTTTTCAACATTTTCCACCCTCTGTGAAAGATCAAGATCAAGAGCCAACCAAAAAGAAAGGCAAACAGGCTGGGTCACCGGGGACGACAAGTGGAAACTTCAAGTCTAATGGTCCACAAAAGTCGGGCAATACAGCAGAAGAGAAAAAGGGAGGTCCTGTCCAGTTCAAGAAAAACAAGCAGAAGGGTTCAAAGGGTCCAGCAAAGAAAGTGGAATTTTTCAAAGGAAAGAAACCGAACCAGAAGAAAGACTGGAAGAAACACAAAGGAAAGGGTTGAATGATATGATGTGAGAGTGAGTGATGAGTGTTGTCAGGTGGCGTGCTTGAATGTCATGTCTGAAGAAAATAAATGTTGGGAGGGGGGAGATAGAGACATTATTCTTTGCGGGGTGAGAAGTCTGATACAAAGTGTAAAGGCATTTACTTCAGAGTCAAAATTCTTGCATTTTATGGCAATTTTCAGATTACAGATTATTTACCGACTTTCTCTAGGGTAAGATGCTTCAGAATGGATCACACTGCAAACAAATGTTTTTATCGATCCAGACTGCAAACAAATGTTTTTATCGATCCAGACTGCAAACAAATAAGAGGGGTAGAGTAGCCTACTAAACATGCTGTTTGTTAGATACAGTATAACATGGGATAGGTCGAACACAGAAGACTCGAAATCATGTATCTGTCGAACTGTACCTGCAGTCCCGGGGGGGGGGGGGGGGGATTTCTTTTCTTCTTTATCTTTGTAAGATATCCCTCGAACTATCGCTGCGGGTCCCGACGAATTCGAGATGTCCGTGTTATGCTGTAACTAGTTCAGTAGCTGACTAGATTTAGCTGTCACTGGCTTGGCAAAGAATATAGGTCTACTTCTTGTTTTGAAATTTCGGGTAGTTTTTACAGCTGGTGCTGAGATAGTTTTGGATTAGTTAGAAATTTATTTTTTTAACAAGATTCCACTCATCACACGCATGTAGTTTCTCAAGTTGTTTGATAAAATGATAGTCTATATATATGTGTGTATCATCAATCCTTGCCCTGAATTTAGATTTTATGTGAATGACATAAGTTGTTGACAAGTATGAATGAGAGCTTGAGTTGAGGGTTTTATCATAAATAGAACATGATTGATGTTATGTATTTTCTCATTGCTTCTTTATGATAATATATTATAATGCCTCAGAATAACGAGTTGTGCTTTTCTTGTTTGGTTTTTTTTTTTTTAAGTTAGTTCTGGTCACTTGCCAGGTTGTTTCCAAGGAAGCATCTGTGCGTTTGTCTGTTGTCCTTCGTTGGACATGAAATGATAAAATGATACATAATATTAAATGGCATTTATGAGAGAGACTCTCTCTCTCTCTCTCTTTCTCTCTCTCTCTCTCTCTCTCTCTCTCTCTCTCTCTCTCTCTCTCTCTCCTCTCTCTCCTCTCTCTCTCTCTCTCTCTCTCTCTCTCTCTCTCTCTCTCTCTCTCTCTCTCTCTCTCTCTCTCTCTCCTCCCCCCCTTTTTTATTTTTCTCTGAACTTCTCCATTTTGTTTTCCTTGCTCATGTTCAAAATACAATCTAAACTTCGGTGGATTGTTTATGGTCTCATTTGTTAAGTATCAATTAGTATCATACCTTGTGTGCAGAAGAGGGAGGAGGAAAGCTGGGTACACTTCAGTCAGTGACATAGCTTGGCCTTGGTCTGACTCATCATCACATTGTCTCCCCTAAGAGTGGCGAGATTTATGAGAATATGAATGAAAAGGAGGCACTGCCCGCTAGATCTACAGCAGATTTTTGTGTGTTCCTTTCTGCAACTGTTGTAACTATTAAGTTATAATAGGTGTAAAATAAAATAGAGGCAACAGAAATATGGTTTCTTAGGAGACTGCTAAGAGTATCGTGGAAGGAAAAGAAATCAAATGAGGTAGTGCTTGATGAAGCCCACGCGGGATGCTCAATGTTAAAAACAATCAGGAAATGACAAATGCAGTTTTTGGGACACCTGAATAGACATAAGGGTAAATTGAGGGCAAGCGAGGCAGGGAAGGCCCAGAACAACATACTTAGGGAACCTAACAAATGGGTAACGGAAAGATCAGGGAAACGTAGCTTTTCTGAGAGCATCCGAGCAAAGGAATGAATGGAAAATCATGATTGCCGATGTCTATTGCAGATCTGGCACTGGATGAGATGAGGTGTAAGCACTCTAAATGCTGTGGACTCTCTAGAGCATTCATATGTGTTATAGAAATACAAGCATTTTTATTATCATTGCCGGGGCATCTCTATTTATGCCTAGGCAACCATTTAGACTAATATACTAGAAAAAGGAAGGTAAAGATGAGAGAGAAGGAAAACAAATATGACTGAAAAAGAAAGTAGCAATAACAGATAAATTGGTTGTAGGTAATCTATGTAGTAAAGGTGATCCCATTGGCTTTTTAATTATGTCACTATTTACAGTATGTAATTATGACCCCCATCAGTAACAGGATTCAGCCATAACCGGGATATCATTTCAATTATGGTGGTCTTGTTATAGACAGGACCCACTGCACTGGGTAGTACTAAACTCTCTGGTAGTACATTACAGTAATTTACAGTAAAACCTCATTGTACAGCCCCCTGTTGTACTGCCAGGTTTTGCCAATGTACGAAAAGGAGCGCCTCAAAAACAGTACATGTATTTACTCCTTCACTCTGCCATCTGTCGGAGTTGTTTGGTCCTTATTTACTTTACTTTTTTTCTTTTTCATCCTCTGTTGCCGTTAAGCGTCGAGGGGGGTCCTTATTTAACTAATATAAATTTGCCCTGCCATACCGTTACTGTTAGCAAACTGACCGCCAAAAGTACACTCCACACAACACCCAATGATTGACTACTTGATCATCTTTCTTCCGCAAGAAAACATAGAGATAAAGAGAGAGAAGACTGTTCGTTCTGATTCTGAATACATGTAGAATCTTCATGATGTATGTCGCCAAGCAAAAAACACCTTTCAAACCAAACACAGATCGCACCGCAGAATCATCTTCCTTGACGTTGGGCAATTCGGGTTATACAACAGAGGAACCCCGTTGAACCACCATCTTCATGCTCATCCCAAAGGTGGTGGTATAATGAGGTTTGACTGAGGTTCCACCTGAACAGAATAAACCCGGAACTTCCCCCAATGTGTCCCTTGTGTGACTATGCATATGAGACTGGATCATCACCTGTTCCACTGCACAGCCCTAAATGACATCAGAGCTACCCTTCTCCCTCCGAGACCTAACATTGACAACACATTCTATGGAACTTTACAGCAACTGCAGCAAACCTGCACTTATCACTACATGGCATTGGACAGAAGGGCGAGAGCCCAGCTGTTGCTGGATCGATAACAACAACGACTTTACTAAATGACTATTTATGCACACTACTCGATACCAAAACTTTCAGTTGTTGAATGGCACCGCTGGAGAGGTTTTTAAAAGCTTGGACTTTCCTCTTGGTCGAGTTTCTAAGAAACATGACACGGGCATCTGTGGTGCAGGGGTTACGTGCGAGTATCTCGGTCTTTCTGTTGGGCAGGGTTGGAAGCCCGCCTCCTAAATGATCTAAATTGTCTCAATGAGGGTGTAAAAACACCTAGTACAAACTGCAAGATAGACTTGTTCTAACCCCTAGGGCATACGTTCTCTGGAGAATGAAATGATTCAGATGTCCGACCTGGTTCTAACCCCCTAGGGCATACGTTCTCTGGAGAATGAAATGATTCAGAGGTCCGGCCTGGTTCAAACCCCTAGGGCATACGTTCTCTGGAGAATGAAATGATTCAGAGGTCAGGCCTTTTTTGTACTAGAACCTACATTAACAATGTATGTGTCCAGTGTTGAAAAGTTTAGTACATGTGAAACTTGGGAGTAACAGACAAAATTGTTAGCACTGTCAGAAAAGGGCAGGGAGAAAACGACAAAGATTGGAGGAAGGACATTTATTTTCCAGAGCAACCGTTGACCGTGCGTGGTCAATACACAAGGCAAGGGTTGCAGTTGAAGCATAAGCTTGTTCCCCAGAAATATTAGTATTAGGCTACTACACATTTGTATAATTATATATAGCCTACTGGGAAAGAGGGAAGTCTGGCGTCATTGGTGTTAGCTACACAGCAAATCGCTTTCGGACTTTCCACTGCAATATTTAGAATATGAAAAAATGTTATTCGGACTCGAGTCCCAATAATGACGGCCTTCGAGAATACTGCGCTGTCAATGATAGCCTACATGTACAAGCGCCTCAGGCAGGGAATAGCATATATTATTGTTCAAGCTATACACTATATACATGAATTCGAGTATTGCGTGTGTTCGAGTTATCGGTGTCCAACTGTAATATTCCGTCTTTTCTTTCATAGTCTTTTTTTTTTCCCTTGTCAGTAAGATGACCTCACTTCACGCTCAAACTCAAACACACAGACGTGCACACATTGAAGCATCTTAGTCACTCAGAACTTTCCTGTGAGGCTCACAATAAACAAACATCTACACATGACATATTTCATACACCCCAGAGCAGCGCCACAGTCGCTTGTCGCAACGCCGTCTGTCTTCGATCACACCCAACCATTGAGAACCCGCCCTCACGCCTCGCATGACAAGATTCAAGGAAGATCTAACGCCCCGAGGGCCTTACACATGCACTGTACTTAATTGTACTTTTTCATACAGGTACTTTTGCGATTACGGGCCTACGAAGGGCCAATTAACTAGGCTAAGTCTTGAAAGCAAATCAGCATCGTGTGTGTATCACGCCGTGCGAGGGCGAGCCTGGTGCGTTCGTGCAACATGATGGGTGGGTGTGTACTGTATAATGCAAGGAAACCTCGAATCATTACTCCTTGGAATAAGTTTAAACAGTTTATTTTCCTTTGTGCGCGCGGCACGCAGGGCGATTAGACGTCGTGTCAATTGATCGGGCTTTCCATAGCCTACGATGTAAAAAATAAGGCTTCAGCCGGGGAATGGCATATTGCTCCAGCTATCCATGAATTCGAGTATTGCGTGTTCGCGTTATCGGTGCCCGACTGTATTATTCAGGTGTTTTTTTTCGTTACATATTAATATTATTGTTTTTCCTGTCGATCAGATGATGGTTACACCTGTGTCTACCAATATAATATTAAAATTATTATTATTATTATTAT